CCAGTTTAGTGGCTAATGAGTTTGCACTCGAGGCACTTCACCCTAAACAAAACTTTTTCACTTGGTATTGAGAATTTTTGTTTTCAATCGTTAAAACTCAAATATCTCAGAAATGGTGCCTCTAAACAAAATTTTGTAGGAGTAACTCCAGTGGCGTAGAAAAGGTGCGAAAAGGGGAGCAAATACCGTATATCTACGCTACTGGATGGTTTTAACAAAATCTATAAGTATAAAAATAGGTATTTATTCAATGAGTACTGTCTTCAAAGTTATGCCAGAAAATCAATTCTAAAAATTAAATTTTAACACCCTGTAATTTTTTAACGGATGATTTTAGACTATTGAGATTATATATTTACGATTCCATTTTTGATGGGGAATCCACCCTTAAAGTTTGTAACAGTAGTTTAGTTACACTATGCATAGTTACGCATTTTAAAATGCAAAAATAATACTTCAATGCTTACAAAATCTTTCGGAAAAGACGTATTTTTCTAATCCAACAACTATTTTGCCTTTTTGTAATTGGTCCAAATTTAATTTTTGGAAAACATGTCGTTTATTTTTATTTGTGAATTTGCGAAAAAGGTTTTTATTTTTGTTGGTTTAATGGTTTTAAATGCAAAATACTAATTTGTAAAGGTCTTAAGGGTGAAAAAATAGTTAGGATCTGCCTTGGGTCTCAATTTAATAAACTTTTCATATTTTACTTGGATTTTTGCGACTCATATGAAATTGCAGTTTTAGGTTGATTTGAATTTTATTCATTAATTGTATACAATAGTACTATAGTACTATACTATAGTACTCCTATCAATCTAAAATTATTATACTTATATTATTTAAGTAATAATTTTTATACTTATTCTCAGAGCTGGAAGTATCTTGAAAAAAAGATACTTAAAAGTAACTTAGTTACTTAAAGTATCTAAGATACTTTATCTTAGATAATTTTTATATTGGACAGAAAGTATCTTAAACTGTATCTGTAAATTGTATCTTAAAAACAATCTAATTAGATTGTTTTTAAGATACTTAAGTTATTCGGTAAAGTAACTAAGATACATTCAAGTTACTTAGATATTTTAAAGTAACTTAGATCCTTTTCAGTGTAACTTAGATACTTTGTTAGGGAAAATTGGGGGAATTCCAGAATGATTCAATGTAATTACCTAACCTACAATTTGTTGAATTTTATAGTTTTTATTTAAACTTAAAAGCAGGGACCCGGACCCAAATGAAATAAAGGTTCCTGTCCGGTTCCGAGAGAAACAACAAATTTCGGTTCGGGTTCAGTTAGGTTAAAAAAAAAATATTTCTCTCCAGTTCGGTCCAATCTTTTCGGTCCATACGGTTTTTTTCGGTTCCAATTTTTTTACCATGTAAAATAAGTAAAATTATAAAATGAAAAATTTATTTTTTTGTATTTTTTTTTTGGCATCTGGTCTATTCTTTTTTTTAAATCAGGTTCTTTAATTTTAGGCCCTTTATTCTCTTTTTTTTACTTTTAATCTCGATCTGCTTGCTAACTTTATCTTTTTCTTCTGATCTTGCGATTGAAAAACTGTAAAATTCATATTTAAAATAAGTTTATCTCCAAAAATTCTGTTCTCACAAATAATTGTTCCTCTAATTTTTTTTCTTTTATGTTTGATCTTGTTGGGTGAAGTAAAAATTTGTGAACAGAAAACAGCCTTTTTTAACGCTTACTTACTTGTGTGCAGATGTCATAAGTATACATAATACTTGGCAACACTAATTAATAATCCCCACTACAAATGCACCTACCACCCATACTAGCCAAGATACATACACCTACATGCTAGTCATTTTAATAAATCAGTCTTCAACCTACTCTGGTAATATTTACTTCATGGCGCAGTCGGTAGGATATTTTGTAGTGGGGGTTTATTAATTACAGTGTTGCCTAGTACTATATAATATATATGTATACATATGACATCTTTCTTTTTCCAATAAAGTTATTTTAATTTACATTTACATGTAATTATTGCAATAATTATTTATACAACATTTACAATTGGTATTAACACAGCAGGAACGCCAACTATACGCTGTATAATTTATAGATTTATAGCCCGTGCTAAAATATTTTTAGCAAAAACTAATTTTATAGATTTTTTTAACGAAACGATTTTTTTTAAATTATTGCAAAAAAAATTAAGAAAAAACCTTAAATAATCTTAAAACCCGTTTTAAATTTGAAGGGTTCGGGTTTGGTTTCTAGAGTTACGTTTAAAAATAATATGGGTTCGGTTACGGTTCCGGTCCACAAATAAATACCGGTTCCGGTCCGGTTTTCTGTCCAAAAACGGTCCCTGCTTAAAAGCAACTAGTATTTTAGATACTTTCTAAAGTATCTTGTAACTAAAGATACTTTTAACTCAACGTATCTAGTTACCAGAGGTAACTAAGTTACTTTGTTTAAACTATCTTAGAAAAGTAACTACCTAGATACTTTTTAGAAGTAAATTTTCCAGCTTATGGGGCATTCCACGTTACTCGGTAATTTTTGTCCCGCCCCACAGTAGTCTAGAGAGCGTTCCTAGCGCGAAGAAATTCAAAATAAGTAAGAGTTTTATTTCAACAAAATTTAGGAAATTTTGAATTCTTTAATGTCTGTAGATAATAAAACAACTTTAAATCACCTTCAAATCTGTTGAATTTTTATCAGGTCTTCATTCAAAGTTTAAGAATTATAATTACTTGCTTCCTGTTGGTAAATTGCGCGTAAAGGTATGGCTTCTCTTTCAATGTTTATTACTAATTTATTCTTACTTTTTTACTATAATTGTATTAAACACTGTCATACGTTATAGCTAAAACGAAAAATGGTAAGTTATTATTATTATTGTACTGTCACTACTTCAATACAGTAACCGCTGCATATTTTTGATATATGAATGGACATTACTAAGGTTTTAAAAAATGTCACTAACTGTCACATTCTGTGTTTAAGTTTTTTTAATAGCTTATCGTTCTGTCTTTCAAATAAATCTAAAATCAAGTGCTAGTAGGCGCAACAAATATGTTTTGTTTATTTTTTTTTCATACGGAGCTATGTGAAAAGTCGTTTAGTTAGAAGCATTTCAATATAAAGTTAGTTTTAGATTACTTAATAGTAGAGATGCGACTTAAAAAAAAACGGTCCGTTTTTGTTTTGTTTTTTTTTCAGGTTTTTTTCATTGTTTTTTTCAAATGGTTTTTTTTTAAGATGTCTCATTTGCCTAATTTTTTATGTTTCCAGTCCAGTTCATGGACTAAAATGAGTCACTAACTGACATTTAGTAAATGTAAATACAGTGTCGCGCTATGCACGCGCCACCACCACCGAATTTACCAATAAGGGCCGCGCTTGTTTTGCTTTGTTGATTTGGTCCTAAAAAAGTAACTACCTATAATATTTTTGATTTGGCGCTTTTAGTTGATCAGCCTAAGCCCGGGTATGGTTCAACAAATACAGGGAGTACGGCAAGGGTTTTTTCAAAAATATAGAAAAAGCATCGGAAATTACAGGCGTTGATTTTGAAATAATTAAAAGATTTCATATAATACTTTAAGCCATATCTAGTGGTTATGAAATAGATACACAAAAATTTAAGAAATTCGCAACTGAAACTGCTGAGAAGTTTGTGTCCCTCTACCCGTGGTACTACATGCCTACAAGCGTCCATAAGATACTTATTCATGGAGCGCAGATTATAAATCACGCCATCTTACCTATTGGTCAGCTAGGGGAAGAGGCACAGGAGTCAAAAAATAAAGATTTTAAATTTGTAAGAGAACATAGAACAAGGAAGGATACCAGTAGTCACACTAATGAAGATTTATTAAATTTTCTTATTCTGTCTTCTGATCCTATTATATCACAAATTTGGATAAAAGATAAGCGCAATAAAAATAAATTGGCATTAGAACCAGAAGCTTTAGCTTTACTGAAAGCCCCTAGCATCGCTTGAGGCATTTTTTCGGAAAAGTCTAATAGTTTTAATAGTGAATAAGATTTTTTTATAAACGTATCACAAGAGACCCACAGAATGTTTAACGATTAATTTTTTTTAATATTTATGTATTTTTTGTTAAAATAAACCTTTAAAATTGTGTTTTATTTTAAAAAGATTCAGTGATATTTTTGTAATTTACTCATTAAAACTATAGATCTAAATTTTGCCATGACACAAAGATAAAATAAAATAAAAATAAATTTGTTTTTATATTGGTAGTAAAAAGTAATTTTTAATAAAATTTCATTAATTAGACCAAAAAAATAAACATTAACTAAGAATTACTAAAACAAATAATTTCTTCGCGTTAAATTGGCTCTCTAGCCCACTGTGCGCCCGTCACAATTAAACATTGTGAGTAAAAACCACAAGTTATTAAATTAATATTTATAATATTATTTTTACTGTGCTTAAAACTTATTAAAAGCATAATTAACGATATTTTAAAATAAATTTTATAACGTGTAGTTTTTACTCACAATTTTTAATTGTGACGGGCGGGACAAAAATCCCCGAGTAACGTGGAATGCCCTTATAGGTACTTAAGTTTAATAGAAAAAATATTAATGCGCATGCATGATACCTATAAACTCAATAAATAAAATGGGTTAATTTATCTGTTATAAGGATTTAACTTTCATTAAAAATATCTAAAAATACCTATTTAAAATTGGTTTAGATACCGTTGTTTAACTATCAAAAATATATACTTACTTTTATATTTAAATTCATAGTGGGTATATAAGGAGAAGATAATATATACTTAAGTTTAATAGGAAAAATATTAATGCACATGCATGTTATTTTAATAAAGTCAATAAATAAATTGGGTTAATTTATCTGTTATAAGGATTTAAATTTCATTAAAAATATCTAAAAATACCTATTTAAAATTGGTTTAGATAACGTTGTTTAACTATCAAAATATATACTTAATTTTATATTTAAATACATAGTGGGTATATAAGGAGAAGATTAATAAACTTAAATCACTTTAGACAATTCTTCAAAATGTTTCGTTTGTGCCTTTTCACAGTGCTTTTGGTGGCAGTAGCAGTCAACTGTTTGCCATCCAAACATGAAGCCAAAATGGGCAGGTATACATACGTTATGTTATATTGTTTTACACAAGTTAACATTTTTATGTTTTATAAGGATTGCCTTAAAAAAAGTTAAGCTTGACAGAAATTTTCTTGCACAAATTGGACCACACAGGGAAGCTCTCAAGGAGCGTTACTCCAAATTAAGATCTGGTTCTGGTGTTGAGCCACTGACCAACTACATAGATGTAAGTTTTTTTTGTAAAATATATTTTTTTTATAACATAAATTATTATTTAAGGCCCAATACTTTGGAGAAATCTCCATTGGAACTCCAGCGCAAAACTTCACCGTCATTTTCGATACTGGCTCCTCAAACCTGTGGGTTCCATCCGTCAAATGTCCATCTTCTAATGTTGCTTGCAGTAAGTGCTTTATTTTTTATTTTTTAAATCATTATCATGAAAAAATATATTTTCTTTAGTGCTCCACAACAAATACGATTCCGACAAATCATCCACTTACAAAGCTGATGGTAGATCTTTCGCTATCGAATACGGAACTGGATCTATGGCTGGATTCCTCTCAACTGACACAATCACTGTAGGTTGTACAAACTTTTTAAATTAATTAATCAAACATGCTTTTAAATAGATTGCCGGTTTGACCGCTAAAGGCCAAGCCTTCGCTGAAGCCATCACCCAACCAGGTTCCACCTTCATCGCAGGCAAATTCGATGGTATTTTAGGTATGGGTTACGCTAGCAACTCTATCGATGAAGTTGCACCAGTTTTTGACAACATGGTAGCTCAAGGATCCGTAGACGAACCCGTCTTCTCTTTCTACCTTAACAGAGATTCAGATGATGAATTGGGCGGTGAACTTATTTTGGGAGGTACCGATCCTGCGCACTACGAAGGAGAGATCACCTGGGTCGATGTAACCAAAAAATCCTACTGGCAATTCACTGTCGAAGGTATGAGCATCGATGGGCAGAGCTTAAGCGTTTGCAATGGAGGTTGTCAAGTCATCGCTGATACTGGTACTAGTCTCATCACTGGGCCATACAGAGATATCGGACAAATTAATGATGCTATCGGGGCCGAATTAACATTCAGCGGAGAAGCTTTTGTTGATTGCGCTAGTATCCCAGATCTTCCCAACATTAACTGGGTTATTAACGGCAAAAACTTTACTCTTGAGGGCAAAGACTACATCGTAAAAGTAAGTTAACATGTATATACATCAAATTTGCAGGCATTAACTTAAAAATAATGTCTTTTTAGATCGAAGATGAAGGAGAGACCGTGTGTATGTCTGGATTTCAGGGCTTGGATATCAATGATGGTTTGTGGATTCTTGGTGATGTCTTTCTTGGCAAATTCTATTCTATTTACGATCTTGGCAATGACCGTGTTGGTTTTGCTGTTTCCAAGGATTAAAGCTAAAGGCTTAATTTTAAGAAATATTGTAATTTTTCGGTAAAATCAAAATAAAATATAAACTTATTTAATTATTGCTTTTATTCAGTTCAATTTCATCAAATCACTTTTACAATATTACTATACCTACATTTTAAAATAAATTAATAGCATGTTTTAAACAGTTGTACTGTTAAAATCATACATTGAAATAAGTACAAGATTAAAATATGGAATAATTGCATGCTTTGCAAGAACTATTTCTCAAATATATTTCATTAAATAGTGGCATACAATAAAAGTTATAAATCATTAAATTATAAATATATGTATAACAAATTAACACTTCAAATTTTGTATTGCATTTCTCTATAAAAACATCTTATCACTGGTTTCATAACGTTATTATTATTTATAATAACTTTGGAAATTTATTATAGCAAAGATAAAATGTTTTAATCATTAAGGCAATATTTTGGCATAGGATAAATAATTTACACACAAAAACTTTCATCTTAACTAATTGATTAACATAGTTAAAGCATCAAGTATAAAATAGAATTCTTCCACCATTATTGCATTTAAATTCAAAAATTGATCTATAAAGTTGTAGACTCTAAATAAAAAATAATATAAACTAAAATAAATAACAAACAAACAAACAGGATAAATAATTCCCGGGAATGATAAGTAAACCCAAATTTGACAACAGAGAAAAATAAATAAATTTAAAATATATACAATGCAAGCTAAACCTACATCTATTCACAAAACTTTTAAATTTTGAATTAATAATCAGTCTTCCCAATAATGCACATCAAAGGCACCGTATACATATGTTAATAAATATCAACAAATTATTCGTGTAAAGTATCAACTGATACAGCAAAATCTTTTGCCATTCCTATTCTAGGATTCTTGTTTGACATTCTGTTCGTTATATCATCATGTAAATAAGATAAAACTTTTTTGACTTCCACGTTCTTGGAAGGCGCCAATCTTATTGCATCCTTTACATCTGCCAAGGCACTCTCGTATAACTTAAGATCTAATCTCGCCTTTGCCCGCGCGTAATAAGCTTCGTAAGAATCGAATTTCATTGCCAGGGCTTCGTTGGCCAACTCTATGGCTTCGTCGAACTCCTAAAATATAAAACAAAATTGTAAATATGTAAAGTTGGTTAAAATTAAGACATTCGTACGTTTAATTTTCGCTTGCATCGGGAAAAATTAAGGAGAAAATTGATCTGCAATTGGTGAAAGGCTTTGTTATGGTCTCCTTGATCTTCAGTGGGAAATTTCTTTAAAGCATATTGGTACCTATGGGCGGCTTCTCTCAATCTACTTTTTCTGTATAGAATGTTACCATCCTCTAGAAGTTTATTGAGAAGGATAAGCCTGCAAAAATAATAAGTTAAAATGAAATTAATAAAAAAATTAGTAGAACTTACAAGATTTCGGGTTTGCCTGCTGCCATTGCCCATGTCGCAGGGCCCAATTTAGCTCCTTTCTTAAGAAAGCATTGCACCACGTGAATATTTCTGCATCCAATCGCTCTATCTAGTGGGCGCATTCCATTGATATCGACGTGTTCTATAACAGCTCCCCTATCGAGTAAAAATTGCACCAATGTGGGATTTCCTTGAAAGGATGCTAGATCAAGTGGTGTTCTTCCGGTTTTATCGGTGTGATTGATATGTGCTCCTCTTTCCAATAACGTTTGAGCTGCTTGCTGTTTCCCTCTTAAGCAAGCCCAGCATAACGGTGTGAGTCCTTCTCGATCTTCCTTGTGGATATCGGAACCTTTATCCAATAGTAGTTCAATAAGTCCTACATGACCATCAGCCGAAGCTAGCATAAGTGGGGATCTTCCGGCGTTGTCGGCTTGCTCAATTGCAGCGTGATTCTGTATGAGCCTTTCAGCAACAGCCCAATGTCCCTCCTTTACCGCCAAATGCAGAGGTGCCATCTCCCGTTTGTTGGTAACCGAGAAATTTGCGCCCCTACTAATCAATGCCGAACAAACGTTATGGCATCCGTTCGCAGCTGATATGGTTAACGCAGTTTCGCCGGTAATTGTATCCGGGAGATCAATATTAATTTCAGCCATATCCAATAAGTATTCGACGATTTCGACATGGCCCTGACTAGATGCAGCAATTAAAGCCTGTTGGGCAGCCTCAACCAATTCCATATCCTCTGGGTTTTTAATCACCCAATCGCATGCCAAAAGATACCCGACGACATTAAGACAACCGTTTCTGGCTGCGTGTACCAGTGGACAATATCCTCCTGTATCCGCATGTCCAGGGCTGGCTCCCGCAGCAATTAATTGTCGAACAACATCACAGTGCCCTCTGGATGATGCTAACGATAAAGCAGTACAACCCTGGCTGTTGGTTAGCTCCACATCTGCACCAAATTCCAATAGCAAAGAAACCATAGGAACTATTCCTTCATTGGCGTACATACACAAAACGGGCGCGTTACCCAAGAAATCCGTTAAATAATTTGGCGATGCGCCGGCTAACAACAAAAGTCTTGACACTTTAACATTAGGACTGTACATGTTCCTCAAGTTACATAAAGCTGCTGATACATTATCTGAACTTTCAGCCACCCAGTAAGCCTGCAAGTCCCTTGAACTTATATTTGTCGAGGATACGTTCCTATAAACATGCGCTTTTAAAATATGATGTCCCAGTTCAAGAGTTTTTTCAGGATCCAAAGGAGCTTGCACTCTGCTTAATCTAAAAGCAATACCAGCATGCCCTGATCTCAAATCACACAAAAACTTGGTCGATTCACATTCATCCCTTCTTATCAACCACTCCCTAAACGATGGATGAAAGAACATGTAAGTGTCGTCCAATCTTTTTATTAAAAATCCAGATAGCAATTTAAACCTTTGTAGAAATTCACTCCAGGGAAGAAATTTGTCCGCGAGTAACGAATTTACTGAATAGTAAATTTCCAAAATTGTAAGAGGATATAGAGCCGTAAGGCATACACTCAGAATATGTGTGACTTTTTCGAAGGATCGTATTGTAGGGAATCGTAAATTAAAATGTAGTAGATAAATTTGGGCAAGAGTAACGGGCAAGACTTTGTATCCAGAAGATTTTGCGACCAATTGTCCTCTTTCGAGAAGGTCTAATGTTAATTTGGCAAATAAAAAGGAACCTTGACTTAATTGCAACAAATGCTGAGCGAATTTTGGCTGCGATGCACCATAACTTTCCACTTTTCCTGTTGTAGATATAGTAACGTTACTTTGTATCGTAGGACTACTTTGTAGTCTAAAATTTATGTAGGCTAATATATCTTTATTAATGCCTTCGTTGGTAGTAAAATTATCAAGAGTAACTCTGGTATAGGGTAGCTGTTTAGTGACTTCCTGTAATTGAGATCTGACAGTACAAAGTACTTTTAACCACGTTGGGAAGTTGGCCACATGCTTCGCAAGGAATGTGGTTATAGTATCTCCATGGTCAGGTCTATGGTATTCTGCTTCGCAAAGACCGTCAACCAGTATAACACAGTTTAAGGAATCAATTTTTCCAACTCTTCTTAAGCTCACTAAAGGTTCTAAAATACCTCTGGTAAATGCTACATCAGGATTGGCAATGCATTCTCTTAGCGATAAGGCAGCTTGCAAATGTGGCTCGTTTAAAAGATGGTCTCTGTAGGCAGTCAACTGCGGAGCTTGGCACAACTGGGCAGCCAAGGAGTGAATGAAGTCAGGTACCAGACAAGTATTGTTATTGTCGGCCTGGCAAAAGTGATAGGCCACTATGCTATCCGCAAGATTTTTTATTTTTTCTCCTAAAACATCTGCATGGTAGGAAAGGCTTTGCGGACTCATCGAGCGCTCCGGAGAGTGTACCCTGGACGAGTTTGGAGTTTGGTAGATTGGATCCTTTTTTCTTCCAAAACAACTGTACTCTACTAGTTGTAGAATAAAGGCTGTTTTACCAGCTCCAGGATTGCCCATTAGTAAAACCCCAGAACTTGATGAAGCTACAATAAAAAAAGTATTACTATGTTAATTTTGTATTCATTGAAAACAACACTTACCAACTATTTCTTCAATTTCTTTTATAAGCCAGTACCTTCCTAAAAACAAAGGTTCCGGTTCTTGTAGGGGCACCTCGAAGAATAAAGGTTTTAACATCAATTGAGGTTTTCTATACTGTGCGAACCTAATTTTAGGATCGACAGGGCCTTTTATAACGCCAGTTCGAGCAGATCTTCGTACGCAAGTTTTTCTATTTCGAAACAGACTGAGATCATCCACATGCCCAGGTTGAGATGCTAAAATATACAGTATTTAAATAATATGTTAATAAACCGTATAAAACTTAAGTCGATATTTTTAATTGTATTTAGTGTTAAGACTAGAAGACTTACCTGTAACACTATGTCGTCTGCTGACAGGGCTGGAACTGCAATTGCTTTGTCCAGACATTGACATGGACATTAAAGAAGCAACGCTATCGGAACTGGGGTTGTTCCTATGTTGGTCCTCGGAACTGCCTGTTAAAGTTGAGACGGGACTTGTATTTGTGGACATCATTGCGGATGCTTCGTAACTCGCCAAAGATGAACACGATTCGTGATTAAATTGCCTCGTGGGTTTCTTGGCCCTTCTGGCTCCATCGCCCAATAGCAAACCAAGACGCATATACATATCACTATCCGAAGATTTCTTTGAAGAAGATGATTTGGCGTTTCCTTCATCATCTAAAATAAAACATTAATAAATATAACATGCAAAAATATGGATTTTAAACATCAAACATTGCACAAAAATATCATTCCATTAGTATCTATAGGTGAACATAAACTCAAAACTCGGTGTGTAAGGGTTTGCATTTCGTAAGCATGCCAAACATAAAAAGAAAAAAAAACACTAAAACAGCGAAATATCGTGCCTGATATCAGTTGATTGAGACCAGAGCCTGCGCTGCTTGAACCGGCCGTCCAAAGAGAACGAATCTTTCCCAAAACCACGCTGGGCCAATAGCGACCATCGGTGGAACTAGCAGAATTTGTCATTAATGCTGAAACGTCGAAATGGAATGTTTGGGGATTGCTCAATATTGTTGATTTAAGGTATTAAAGTTTAAAAGGACAACAATCTAACAAATTGGAAAAGAATATATGTTTTTTAATATTTGTAACCTCTTAAGAGAACACTATAGTGTATATATACACTATAGTGTATATATACACTATAGTGTATATACAGTGCTTGCAAATCCAAGTCCGACCGCCTTGGGAAGGACGGTTGTTCAATACCCGCGTGAAAAGAATAAGGATAGAATGCCAAACAGAATTTGATTGGTCAGAGCGTCAGGCGTGCGTATTGTAAGCGCCTTCTGTTTGGCGTTCTATCCTTGTTATTTTCACGCGTCCTTCCCAAACCGGTCGGACTTGTGTTTGCAAGCACTGTATACCTTTTCAACTTCAAATTGGGACTAATCAATTTCAATTTGGAATGAAACAATTTCAAATTGGGATTAATCAACTTTTAATTGGTAACTTACACGTTCAAAATGGAAATAAACAAAGTCAAATTGGAAACAAACAAATTCAATTTGGTACTAATCAACTTCAAATTGGAATTTTTACTGAAATTGTAAATTGTAACGAATGAAAACGTTCGTCAGGTCTGTGACCGGCTTAAAGCAAGATACATACACCTTAAGATAGGATGGTGCGCATGTTGGGCGGGGCTTAAATACGTCACTTGTTGAGTGTTTTTAAATCTTTAACGTGCGTTTTAATTATATGCTGCTAAAATTCTTATTTTTGCGATGCTGTTGGATGTTAACTTGCTCCATTTTTTTGTTTAACTTGTTGTTTTTGCGTTCGGTAAGGTTTGAATTACTTTTCAGTGTTCAAATTATTGTTATTGCGTTTTGTTAACCTGTTCTGTTTATTTATTATTGTTTTTGTGTTGCGTTAACTCGTTTTGTTTGTGTTTTAGTTTGTGTCGTGCCATTTGCATTTATTAAACTGCGGTGTGGCATATTTGGATGCAATTCGGACAACCAGTCCAAGAAAAACCCTTTAAATAAAAACATTAAATTTCATCGATTCCCGAAAAACTTTGATTTGTGCAAACAGTTGTTAAATAGACAATATTAACGTTAAGACCGCTTCTGTTTCCTATAAACATTTTCTGGAAAGTGACTATAAGTTTAATTTAAAACACCAACGCTTAAACTACAGCCCTTAATGTTATCAAGGACTAAAAGCATCTATTATCCATATTATAACACTTTCTTCAATATTAAGTTTAATAAAAACGCACTATGTCCATATATTTCTCCATTTTCTTTGATAATATTACTATTATTCGTATATTCGCACGGCAACTACTCATCAAGTGATGTCATGCGCGGCACGAACCAAAACTCGTACACGGCAGCATCCAGCCCTGGGCTTAAGGCATTTCAATTAATTTGATATAAAGTTTAAACGTGACTGCTTTTCTACTTGCAAAACGTATGACAATTTGAATTACAATTTCAGTGAAGATTTTAATTTGAAGTTGATTAGTACCAAATTGAATTTGTTTGTTTCCAATTTGACTTCGTTTATTCCCATTTTGAACGTGTTAGTTACCAATTAAAAGTTGATTAATCCCAATTTGAAATTGTTACATTCCAAATTAAAATTGATTAGTTCCAATTTGAAGTTAAAAAGGTATAGTATAAAACCATTTTTTTCACATAGCTCGTTACGCCATATAAAAGTACTAATATTTCCCTTTAAAATCTATTTTAAATTTTTTGAATACCTTTTATTCCCATCGATTTAAAATTATGATTATAACAGTAGTGATAGGTAAAAGTTTTCTTGAAGAGGACTCCTCTAAGAGAAATATATTGTCAATATAATATTGAAAACAATTTAAAAGGATTTTAAACATAAAGGGTAGTACTTTAAGATAGCATAAGGAGTTTTGTGGAAAAAATTTCGTGATGTAATGAAATATTACGAAAAATCTCGTTTAAAAAAAATATTTTCTGGTGAGAATTTTAAAAAGAAACAAAAGTCAATTAAGAACAAACGCTTAATTGAAAAGTTATTTAAAGATTAGATTATATTGCATTGTTAAATTAAGTTTCGAGAAAAAAATGTTGACTCGAAATATATTATTATGATCATTTAGCAAATGGAAATTTACAATTACCTATACATTTTAAAATAGAACCACATACCTGGTTCTTGGTTTATCAGCTTTAAAATTGATAATGCCAAGTATGTATAAATGGATTACTAATTAAACTATTTTGGTACTTGAAACAATAAATGTTTAAATATGCGTACCTGAGACGGCTGAATCAGCTGCTGAAGATTGCCTTGAACTTCTCGCCGAAAACGGACTACGCAATCCTTTCGGGCTGAGAAAAAATTTCTTTCGAAGTTGCGGAGGCGTCGGGCAGCTCTGCGTCATCACGCCGTGGTCCAACTTGATCCTTGGATTACTGGGTCGCGTCTTTGGCAATTTCTCCGGGTGGCCGAGTTCCACGCCGGACGTCGATAATCCTTGACGACCCTGCAAAAACAACAATTTATCATAATTTGTCGATTTACCCGATACAATAATTATGTGTAATTTCAAAAATTATTTAAACTGGTTTTTAGGATAAAATTACAGTTATTACACCATGGCACAGGTTTTTAATTCGTGAGTACCTACTCTAAATAAATATAAATATGCATAATTCATATTATTACTTTTTAAGGAGTGTTGGCAGTAACAAAATCCCCATTGCAAAAGAGTTCGTCTTTTTTACAACGTCCAATAGTATTGGACCAATACGCTAAAGAAGCATCGGGTTTTTGCAACCCGTCGCGCAATCTGGTGGAGCTCGATAACATTGTAAGAATTATCTAGAATTATCAATAATACATTTAAATCATACGAACTGCACATAATTTTTAAATAAATAAGTAGTTTTTCACAAAAGAAAGGAAGGCAGAAGTTTTACTCTACAAATTTTGTTGGCAAAGTTTTAATTGCACAGCTCGATTTCGATTTAATATTCCTTATATCATTGATTAAGAAACTCAACGCTTAAATGCTTATATAGTTACGTTAGTGTGTGTATGTTATCAAAGTGATCATATTGAATTATTGTACTTTTAATTGTAAATGTAATTCTAGAACTAAATCGTTGCATTTTTATGTTTCCAATTCGGTACGTATATTTGTTGGTACAGAATTAACAAATACTAACTACCTAATATAATTTATATTTAAGTTTAGACCTTTTTAAGAATGTTAACAAAAGTAATAGTTGTTCAAACATAAACTTAAAATCAAACATTTTCTTATTTGAGTCCTCTAAAAAACGCCGAAAACTTCATTTTAAAATAGTAAACGACAAAATATATTTACGAATTCATAGCAACATAATATTATATATAGCCTATAATATAGGTAATACATAATATAATACCCGTTTTTGTTTTTTCACCCTTGAATGCAGACTTTCTTAATCAACGCTTTTTATAATGCATAACGCTGTTTGAATTTAGACGACTTATTTGTTTTATGATTTTCACTGAATTAAAATGTTAATAATTTTCACGTAAATTACTAAAATGTTTATTTATTATATCTAATTTAAATTTGCAGGGACCTTATGCAATTTATTTCTTCTTGTTATATGAAAACCGGTAAAATCCAAAATGTAAAGTTAATGGTGATCCATTGATACATTTATCATCAAAAGCAGTCTGTGGTAAAAATAGTTGAGCAAGACCGGTAGGTACCATTTGTTTCGGTATCTGTAAAACTCTTTTATTGGTATTTATTGGTGCATATTTTGTCCAAAACATTGCAAAAGACATCGATTAACATAAACAAAAACAGCTTCAAACTATAAAACAGGAAATACGTAGTACATTATAGAATAGGCGGAGAAAGCACATATTATCGCCGAGCAAACATTTCACTGCCGAGGCGATAGCCGAAGCAGTAGATTGTGTGCGAGGCAATTTATAACCTTTCGCCGCCGGGTTTTATATGCATTTTTTTAAGCATTTAATTAAATAATTTCTTATGATTCTGTCACCACATTTTTAGGTTAGGTTCAACTGTCATTTTAGCTTTATTTCTGTATGGAGTAACTCCATTGGAGTTTAATAATAATTTGACTTTTGAACTGGTATTAATGACGTCTTTCTATATAGACTTACGAGTCTTATAATATGAAAGTTATTGTAAGCTTAAAAAATGTATTTAAGATTTAATCGGTTCTAGATTTAAGGTATATAGAATTGCAGCACATACCAGAAAGATAACATGATTAATTAGGGTCTAAAAAAGGTTGTTAAATTAAAAAAGTTTCACTTCCTGCTGTTATTACTACTGAACATATGCTAATAATAGATCGTTTCAAAACCAAGACATAAATACTTTGTACATTATTTTCCATAGAAGCCTTTATTGTCTGTTACATTTTAAATTATCAATATGTTATTAATTTCTTGCTGTTTCGATAAAATAAATTAATTGCTTTCGGTTTGTTTACTTTTACACGGGAAGTTATTGTTATTGCAAAGAGAAGATGCAGCAGATGCAATGGTGATTTTATGGCGCCTTTATGGTGATAAAAACCTATTATTAGTAACTGCAGAGGTCAGTATAGCAATCTAACAAAAATGACAAATTTGAAAAAACTTTATTTATTATTTTGATAGCAATTTATTGCGAAATTATTAATCGATAAGGACTTGTATTTGAGGACTTATATTTTATTGCAATGCATGCAAATGTTTGACATATTATACAGGGTGTCCCGAAGTAGGTGTAAAAAAATAGGCAACCGTTTAAGCAATTAAGTATTAAAAACTTAGCGTACTGTGCTACATATCTAAGAAAAGTTGATATGGAAACAAAATATGATTCTTAAAGATTTAGAAGGTACCTACTTAAAGTGTTTTGGGGATTGTATAAAGCGCTGGCATTCGGTGTAATATCTTATATAGATTACTTTTAAGATAGAATAACGAATAAATAATAAATTCCCCAAAACGTAAGTTTCTGTCACTTTTTGAACATACCTCTTAGTAATATAAAAAAAGTATTTTAAAACATGCAATAATTACCTTTGTAATGTGATTTCCATTTCTAACTGGATCAGCCTTAATTTTTTCTACTTTACTCATTTCTATTTGGGGCAGTTCTCCATACAGCGTGATTTCGGACCCTCTTAGCTCCATATAATTTAGATTTTTTCCTATTGGTTCATCCACTAAAAAAAAACATTAATAAAATACTGGATAGGTTTTAAAGATAAAAAATTCTGGTTTCTAGGCCTGTTATTAATTATTAAAACTTAAACGTGTAATTACAGTAACCTGCAGTTATACGATTTAACTGGAACTTCACTAATTAAACCTAATAAGCAGCAGGTCCTATGGAAAAGAGAGTATATTTATTTATGAACGGTATTTTAACGTTGATGGTCGAATAAAAATCTTTATGGCTGTCAGAGACTGATTTGTGGTAGTGCGGAATTAACCGGCATGGTCTTCGCATAAAAATGATTTATCAAATTTGTGTGTCCCAATTCGAAAAGCGCAGTAATTATCTGTACATATGCCATAAATTATGGGGAATAATTGTGACCGGAAGCAATATAGATGGAGGTAAGGAAAGGCAATAGCGCGCATCATCCACAACCACGAGTTTGGTTGTTTAAAGAGATGTTAAAATAGGCCATTAAGAATTAATAAAATTTCGTTATCGATGACTTTTTGCCAAAGTATCGCAAACATTTTTTTTAAACCATATATAACTCATAGGTTTTATAACAAGTAAATAGATATAATTATAAGCTATTTACTTGTTATAAAACCTTTAGGCTATATTTAATTTAAAACAGACTTTAAGACATTTTTTCAATTACCGAAATTTGAGTTATGTTGCATGCGATACTTTGGCAGAAAGTCATCGATATTAGTGAGTTGGTGCCCAATTATTAAAATTAAGTTTTCAGTTTAATTTCTGATCTTAGTTTCGAACTCTTTTCCATGCGCAGCATATACACTGTTCAAAATGTCATGATCATTTTAACACCAAATTAACACTATACATGGTCTATATCGATACAAACCAAAATGGTGTTAAATATGGTTCGTTGGTCCGGTGTAAATTCAAATACTAAAATAGTGTAAATTTAACTTTCACACAGTATTAAAATAAATTTTACCTGCTGTAAATTAAACTCCTTTTCAGTGTTAAATATTATGTGTCTTTGGTTAAATTAAATCATACTACACAGAAAAATGGAAAAAAAAGGAAACAGGAAGTTCCTTGAAGCATTACTAGTATATTACCAGTGGTATTATTCCAGAAAATTGAACCTTCAACTCGCTAGAGATAATGTTTTTAGTGCATTCCACCAACTTAAAATACTTCAAGTATTGACAGCTCTTTCCACCTATTTAAGCCTTAAATTTTAAGGTCTCTTTAGTATTAACAACTTGTAGTGTCACACCAAAGCAAAGGACTACCTGAGCTCATATACTCTTCATGTAAGTCAACAGAGGCGAGATTTAAGAACACGTGATCCAAACCGCCTTTGCCCTGATCGGTACACACTATGCAACCAGGAGTGCACGGCAAATTGTTTTAATCGTTTTAACAGAGTGCTTTAGGTTGAAGAAGTAACTCTTATTTTACAAACAACATATTTAGTAAACTGAACCATACAGCGGGTTGGTTTTATTAAAGTTTTCTGGGTTAATAGTATCGTCAAACTATTTTTTGTTTATATTAACCTTTCCACAGTTTATTTAAATAAATACTTATGGGTCAACTAAATTAATATAGTTAAATGAACTTTTTTTCTGTGTAGGTGCACTTCTCAAATATTTTTAGATAAACATCGTTTTGGTGTTTGCTGTATATAACATTTTCAACCATAATTCATGGTGTTTAATTAACACCACTTGGTGTTGGATTTTGACACCATTTTAAGATTACTCTTTACACCACAGATATTTTAAACAGTGTAATCAAGGGTTAGTTTCAATAGTTACAAATTCGTTTTGAACTGATTCAAAAGTGATTATTTTCCGCTGAATCGCAAAACTAACTAACTTTAAAATGTTACTTACCAGTTTTCTTAGAATTATTTAAGGAACATAATGGGCAAGATTCGTTGGTGAACATGCACGAGTAGCAACGTTCATGTCCACAGTTATCGATGAGCCTTCGTTTTTTACCCTTGTCAAAGGGCATGTCGCAGCTAGGACAGGTTTCCGATGTGATCTCGGTGTCCAGTAGCCGTCTGATGGCTGCCAGATCTGAAACAATCAGAAGAATAATTAATTAATTTAAACCTCTACCGGTTACAAAACGATTTTTCCTGTTAAGATAACAATAATTGAACCTATAGAACCCTAATTAAATAAACAGTTTTAACTTACGATAAATATATTGTCAAGAAGCTAATTTATATTAAATACATACTTTCTTAAAATTAATTAGTCAAAAACAACTAATTATAAGTTATATTTGACTAATTATCACAGCGAAAAAGCAGTCACTAATAATAGTCAAATTAGTAGATTTAAAATAAAAACACAGCCAGTTTAAACTCGGGTATGTAGCTTGTCAAGCGGATGTCAAACCGGTGCTCTCGTTTTACTTTTATAAAAATTTGTTTTTATTGTCTATAAATATTGATAATAATATTTTAATGCTAAATATGTTTTTTATGTTGCTGTTTTGAGCAAATCTTTTTAAATCTTTGTTTGGTTTTAAGGGCCATTTAACCATGGAGCCTATATGCATTTAACAGTAACAATAATTTTTTGTCCGCAAAAATTAGGAACGATTAAAGAAATTAGTTACTTTTTACTCCCAGAAACAGTCAAAAATGGTGACTTATCTTAAATTAGTCAAACTTTAACTCAGTGGCGGCTGGTGGAGGTTATGTATACCAATATCTCAGTTATTAGACATGGGACCCACACCAAATTTATAATAGATTATAATGACATTAAATAAACAAGTTCGGCGAAAACAGAATTTAAATTAAAGTTTGCGAAAAAAAAGTTAGTTTTTTCTGTCGGCTCACCCGCCTCCAGGCCCCCTTATTTAAGATAATTCAAATTAAAGTGGTGCAATTTATTATCTACTATAATTTATCGACAAATTTAAAATTTTATTTAAAAAATCCAAATATTACAGATTTTTTTCGATTTTAAATTTTTATTATTTATTTTTTTTAAATAAAAAAATATTTAAAATGGTATAAAACCTGTAATATTTGGATTTTTTAAATAAAATTTTAAATTTGTTGATAAATTATGGTAGATAATAAATTGCACCAATTTAATTTGAATTATCTTAAATAGGGGGCCTGGAGGCGGGTGAGGCGACAGGAAAAACTAACTTTTTTTCGCAAACTTCAATTTAAATTCTGTTAGCTCCGAACTTGTCTATTTAATGTCATTATAAACTATTATAAATTTGGTGTGGGTCCCATGTCTAATAACGACTATTTTATTAGTAAACAATGCCGGTACTAATTTAAATAGTAGAATTTTGAATATTCCATTTTAAGAGAGTAGTGTCTCAGTAAAATCGTTTATTAAAGTATAGATAATACAAGGGGGAGCTGTCAAACTATGATGAACACATTAGGGGCGGCCCTAGGGCCTCCCAATTAGTTTGGAAGTCTGTTTTAAATTATATAATATATTGTATAATATAATATATTATATCCTATAGGTTTTATAACAAGAATATAGGTAAAATTATAAACTATTTAAGAATTGTTATTTTTATTCATTATTTTATGTACAGGGTGATCCCATATAATGTCGCCCCCCTATAATTTTTATGAATTTATGATTTATGCTAAGAACTTTTATAAGTGGAAAAAAAGTATTTTTTTAGTTTACCTACATAACCACGCTTTAAAATTTTTTGGGACACTTAAAATAAAAAAGTTAAAGGGGGCGACATTATATATTATGTACCTAATGTATAAAATAAATAATTTTGTAAATTTGTATTTGTATTTTTATAACTCAGGACCAAAGTATATATAATGTATAAAGAATAATCAATTATATTAACTAACATTTTTTTTTAAACTACTCGTACTCTTTACTCGTGTTTTCACGATTACTACTCGTAACCGTAACCTCTCTTTACAAATGTACGAGTAAATATTTTAATATTTAAGTACTCATACTTAAAATTTTACGAATACTTTTTTAGTACTCGTTCCCAGCTCTGAAATTGGCTTCTGGAGGTAAGGGTGGAACTAAAAGAGTACATTTTTTTTTGTGACAGCATTGTACGTTTGTTGACAGCATTGTACCATTGTTCGAAATAGATTTCTTATGATACATTGGGCTAACGCACCTTCAAATATAATTCTTTATTCGCCCCTGGACCTCATAGTGGTCATGTTATAACATAACTATAGTTAAAGTTGACATTTTATTTTGAAATTAACTATGTTTTTCAAAAGATATCAGGATTTTAAGCATTTATATAAACTGAATGATTATAATAATCATTATGTGATATATATTATGTAATATATATATATACCCATAAATCGTATCAAATAGATTTGAACATTTGCTCGTGCGATAAAAAACTGGTTAGCTTCTATCCACCATGTCATTATAAATTGAATACTTTTTGTTTACAAATTTTCGATAAGAAAAGTGGTTTAAAATATTTTATCGCAAAGAATTTTAATTATAAAATCGAATTCAATACGCTTCCTTGAACCAATACCCTTTCGAATTATTTATAGCAATTTTAAAATAAGAGTTTAATCTCAAAACTAAGTAAAAATATTTAAAACTTGCATAACTGCTTCATAAAAATACCTCAACACTATTTTATTTTGTTCAGTAAATTCGAGTATAGTAACACAACAAGTTTACCTTTCTAGGGCGTTTAAAACAAATAAATTATGCTTTATAATTATATCAAATGCATCATAAACATAAATATTATATTTAATATGTCGTGGAATGGTTTCAATTGAAAGGATGCAATAAATAATAAACATTAAACATATTATAAAGTAACAAATACTCGATATTATTGCTAATAATGCTTTAATTGAATACAGCTTACCATTTACCAGGTTTTTGAGATTTTATCTAACTGTTATTGCACATTTGTTTATTCTAATACACGGTAAGAATTTCATAATTTTTTTCAGCTGTTTGTTTCTATCGGCAATCTGGTATTTATTCCACTTATACCTACCATAGGTAATATTTCAAGTGGCCAAAATTAAATTGAATCTTGATAGAAAATAATGATAAAATTTTAATAATAGTTATGTACCTATGTCATAAAGCTGAAAAGTGAGTCTTTTTGTGCTGAGCTCAAATTGAGCGAAGCACAAAGACACTTCTCATCTTCAAGGCATGCAATATATCAATATTGTATTTGTTAAACAAATCTTTATGACCGTACAATAATTATTAAAAAAATAGTGGCACCGAATGTACATTTATTTTATATTTATTATAATTGCACTGGTTATAAATTAATAAAAAATAAATGTACATTCGGTGCCACTATTTTTTTCTAATGTATTTTGGCCTGCCTAACTTGAAAATCACAAGATCAAAAATTATGGCAAGGTTTTCGAAATAGGATTTTTTTTTCGAAGGTACTTTGACAATTTGAGTCATATTTCGAGTTTGTAATGGCCAATCTAATTGCAAAAGGTGTCAAATTAAAAATAATCACAGGGCCGACAAATTTAACTTAACTTAATGTCCAACAATAAGAATGCAACATTTACCTATTGTCCAAGAATAAATAAAAATCAAAAAATATGACCATATTCTAGTTATCTACATAGTTTGCATATATGCAATATATGCAATATATGCATATATAGAAACGAAGAAAATAAGGTACTTACAGTTCATTTTGAGGAAATATTTTTTTGTCCTTTACCTATTTATTACAATTTTTTTCTTCAAATTTTGAATTTCACAGTGTGATGTCGCGGTTACCAATATATTTTCTTAGGTTTCTGTTTCTGTTACTGCGTTGTTTCAGATAACACAGGTGAAAAATTAAAATGATTCCACCAATTAACTAATTTTTCATTCCACTTTTGGACTTTTACCTTATTCATAGCTTACAGAGTATTTTAGTATTTTTATGATAGCAGTTAATTTGAAATATGTTTTATCTTTTTGATCGTCTTCTGGTTTTTTTTCGGTATCTGATTATGTTATTATAAGAACCAAATATTATTTTCCACAGGTCGTTCATCTAAAAATCTCTGATAGTGCGGCTTCATACACTTTTTTCTTGGTGAAATCCTCCACCACGTCGTCACTCTGGTTACTGAGATTTTTCGAAAAAAAAAGAAGTTTGAATGCAATGAATGGATTCTCAAAAATCAAAAATGTAATGTAAAAGAATAAAACAAATACCGATATTTGCATAATTCGTTCTGAGCGAAAAGTTTAATGTTTTATTGTTATTTTTGTCCAATATTCAAGCCCATTGCACTAAAAAAACTCAACTAATCGGGCATTAAGAGAGCGATATTGGTCGGTATCCCAAATTGTAAAGCTGCATTCGAAAAACAAATAAAAAAAATAAAAAATTTAAATCTCGAAAACTTTTTTGAGTTTAGAATGCCAAAATACATTGGAAAAAAATAATGGCATCAAATGTCAGATTTGTTAACATGAGTTTGTAGTTTGTGTTAATTTTATTTGTAAACTTTTAACATATTTTTTTGTAGTAAACCAGGGTTTGTAATTATTTTAACAAAGAAAAATATTTTACCGAAAGTTTTGTAAAGGTAACATGCAATTTTGTAAGCATTTTGGTAATTTCAAAGGTAACATATTATTTTGTTAATGTTTAACAAACAGCCAACAGGCAGCCAATCAAAATATTTCCCACTGACAATACGCATCAACAAGTTCAACTGACTTTAGTGTCTCCAACTTATGTTTCTGCTTACTTTATTCTAAATCGTAACATATTCGTAACAACTGTCCAGGTTATTTATAATTTATTACCAGAAATCTGTTATTATTGTTATTCGGATTCCTTATTTGTACCTATTTAACTAGTGTGCGAAATATCCGAAAAAAAAAACCATCACTGGTTTTCAAACTAAATACAGTAAAGTAAAATATATCAGTAAGATTTGTAGTAGTACTGACAGTTATATTGTACCAAATTTCTTAATAATTTGATGATTTTAGAATGGTATATTACTTAATTGTGTGTATGATATTTTTGTGTTTATTTATGTACCTAGATATCTGTTACTGGGCCTACA